GGCAGTTCGAGCTTGCGTCGGAGTGGCAGTTCGGGCTTGTGTCGGGGTGGCAGTTCGGGCTTGGGTCGGAGCTGTTCGGGCTCGGGCCGGGGTAGGAAGCGGTCGTGATGGTTGAGGCACTTCAGGCTTCAAGGCTTTGCCCTTTGCAGCGGTTCGCCTGACCTTTGCTGGCTTTTCTACTGCTACTGGTGGGGATGGGGGCGCTTCCTCCTCTTCCTCCTCTTCCTGTTCTTCCTCCTGGTCCTGCTCTTCCTCCTCGTCCTGCTCTTCCTCCTCGTCCTGGTTCTCTTCAGTATCCTCTGGCTGCTCATCGTCCTCATGTTCTTCCATTTCATCTTCGTCCTCTTTTTCACCCTCTTCCTGCTCTTCCTCCTCTGGAACAGCACCCAACTTCTTGTTTGCAGCTTTCTCTGGGGTCTCGATCGCCTGAGATAACCATGCAAAGCTGTGGCAGGCCGTAATGTACTAATGTAATAGTTCGACGAAACACCCAGCTATGAAGCACCTGTAATTAAATCAAACACAACCAGATCAGAACCCAGCTGCCTCGGTTCGCCTTCTCCTGAGTGCTTGAAGCTGATCTTTCAGCTCCTGGAAGCAAGGTGCATCCAAACCAGGAGAGGTATGTGGTACTAGCTAGCATCCGGCACAGTGTATATTCAATAAATGGACATAACAACCCCAGCCCCTACCTTGATATTTTGTTCCAACTCGTCATCATTCATTGTCTCTTGCTTCGCACGAACCACAGCCACGGCTCCATCTTGTAGCTCCGAGCAGCTAAACTGCCGGGATTTCAAGAGTCTTTTGGCCATGGGGCAACCTCTAAAGAACCTCAGCTACTGCAAGCCCTGCTGGAAAAGCGCCTGCACAGGTCCTGGCTGGGATCATGGTTCGCATCCACAGGTAGATGCTCGGGCGTGCAGCAGTGCACGGATTCAGAACTTATTCGGGCTCATATCAAGTCATACCTTCTAAGCTAGGATCCATCCGGTAATTTCCCGAAGCAAGATCAACACAGGCCACACCAACCATTTTACGTACGTAGGTATCCAAAAATCTACATATCAGCCTCTACGGCATAATCCGGATTTTATACGTAAAGTCATTCGGGTTTCCACGCCCCTTCTACGGAGAAATACGGCCCTTCTACGGGTACGGATTTGCTGGGTTTGGGCCTACGTAGAAAATACGTAAAGCATACGTAGGTCCACGTATTCTTTACGTAGTTCGGGTTGTCTTTGGGTTTTGGTCCAGAAACCACTGAAAATGTATTTAAATTATGTAGTACCTAGGAAAAGCAGGCCTTTTAAATCGAATATGGAAAGACTGCAACTGAACTAGAACACAAACCAGCCTCACCCTGAACCTTCTACAACACCTCTAGCCAGTAATCTTCCAAGGAACCCAGGCCCCCCGAAGCGCTTTAACAGATGCAAGGATGTATGAGCCGCTGCATATGCACAGACACACGCTAAGCAAGCGAATTTCATCCAGGCCGTCAGCAAAAAGGCCCATGTTCTCCATGTATGCGACAAATTAGTTGGAATTGGCATTGCAGTTTACAGAGAAGACTCACTCGAGACAGCCAGCTCATAGACAAGTAGGAAAAAGGCCCCGCCAAACATCTGGTAGCTGCAAGGAATGGCTTCCTCTCAGGTACTGAAGAACCGAAACCATGCCAGCATCTTCCCACAGGTCAAACCACGGCATTCCTTCGAAGACCTGGGCCGCATCCACATTCTGAAGCCTCTGGAACGTAGGCTTGCCGAAGGGCTTCTTGCAGAGTTTGCGGTACAGCCGTGTCATTTGCAGCCCGAATTTGACAGGGTATTGCCTCGGTGCCCCATTATCGAAACCACATACTGCTAAGGAGCATGTGAGCCTGCTAGGGTAGATCGACAGCATCATTCTAAGACTTCTCAATAGAACCTTATATATACTGCTGGGCCACTTAGGAAAGATTCTCGCCCACCCCGGACCAGTGCAACAGGAGTACCACAAAGCAAGCCACATAGATTCATCTAGATATGTTATCATATGTAGATGACGATGACTAGGTTGATTTAAGCCACCGATATGTGCGTGTGCGTGCATGCGTGGGTGTGGGTGGGTGTGTGTGTGTGTGTTTGTGTGTGGCTTCGGCTTTGGGGTCTTAGCTACGAAACGAGTCTGCATAGGTAGTAGCATCCCCACTCAAAAGGGAAGAGCAGCTCTTCATATTCGTATTGTCCACTGAGGGTCTTGCTGTGTAGAAGCAAGGGCACCCGTGCCCGTAAATTTCGCCTTCCCCTTCTTGTCGATGTACTTGCGAGATGTTCGCGGCTGTAGGAGTCCCCTTCGTTTCAAGCTCCGAGCGAAAGAGCTCCTGCAGAATTTGCCCTTGGCGAGGAAGCCAATGTGGGGGCTGTTGCTGTAGCCCACATGCTGCTTCGGGGTGGTAGCTCCATAGTGCCCCATGAACCACGTAGTGGAAAAAACCTTAGATGAACAACTGTAGCCGAAAGCAGCAAGTGGTCTCTGCAAAGGATAAAGAGACCGATGTGAACAGCTGCATGCAGAAATAATCAGTACTGTTTTTGCTCGAACACTCTACCACAGGCCCTGAACAGCCACCTGATCCTTGGATGCCACTTGAGAAGTGAGCTCGCAGGCTGCTCGATAAACCAACAGCCCCCAAGGGCCGTGATCACCAGTGCGAGCAGAGCAACCCTTAGTTGGGCGAAAACCCAGAAGGTGACACATCCTAAGTATGGAAGGGCATGTGTATGTGTAAGGAGCTGGTGTGGATATACATAGATAAACATACGTACAGATGTACATGCACACATACATACATGCGGATGTGACAAAGCCGACCAAGCCCAAAATAAGTATGTGTGAACCTACAAGCACATATGCCACGACCAAAGCTTCCGAACGAATAGCACCATGCATAGCAACATATACAAAACTTACTGGTGTATGCATGACTTACTGCACACGTGCACAGCCTTAAACTCCCTAAAAGAAGTGCTCAAAAAGAAGCACGTACTGCTGACCTAGTACTATAGTGCTGTACAAACACTATATAGTACGAATAGTAGTACTAGTTCTAGTCTTATTAGCAAGAGTAGTAGTATTAGTAGTAGTAGTAGTAGTAGAAGTAGAAGTAGTAGTAATTGCAGCAGCAGTAATAATAGTAGTAGCAGTAGTTGTGTCGTACTACTACTACGACTAGCACTACTACTACTACTACTACTACTACTACTACTACTACAACTACTACTACTACTACTACTACTACTACTACTACTACTACTACTACTGCTACTACTACTACTGCTACTACTACTATTACTACTACTACTACTACTACTACTACTACTACTACTACGACTACTACTACTACTACTACTACTACTACTACTACTACTACGACTACCGCTATCACAAAGTGGTACTGCGACTGCGGCTGCTACTACTATTACTGCTACTGCTGCGACTGCTACCACTCAACTACAACAACAACTCTACCAGAACTACTACTAACACGGACTACTCCTGCGACTGCTACAATAAAGACTGCTGCTACAACAGCAACTATTACTACTGGTACTACTACTGCTACTGCTACTACTACTACTACCACTATAATACTTGTACTACTACCGCTACTACTACTACTACTGCCACCACTACTATTACGATTTTTGGCACAGCTACTAGTACTATACACCCACTGTTGCTGCTTCTGTCATTACTTCTACTACTAGTGCTGCTATTACGACTACTTCCACTACTTCTATAATTTACAATTTGTACTACTACTACTACTACTGCTACTACTATTACTTCTCCTACACCTGCTAGTATTGCTGCTAGTACTCGTACTAGTACTAGCTCTAGTACTACTGCTACAACTACAACTACTACTATGAGAGCTACTACTGCAATACTCTTTGTGCTACCACTACTACTACTACTACTAGTACTACTACTACTACTACTACTACTACTACTACTACTACTACTACTACTACTACTACTACTACTACTTACTTTCAGCACGGCTACTGCTACCAAAACAACAACCAGTATTGCGACTACCATACTTTTACCCCTACTGCAAACTACTGTTTTTACGGCTTCTATCGCTGCTAGTCCTGCTACTGCTGCTGCTGCTACTAGTAGACTACTACTGCTGCTCCTACTGCTAGAATCCGAGTAATAGTCGTAGTAGTGGCAGGGACACTAGCAGCAGTACTTGTGTTCAGAATCAGAGTAACAGCAGGTAATATAGTAGAAGTACTAGCAGCGGTGGTCCTAGTAGAAGCAGCAATAACCAAAGCGGGAGCAGGAGCAGAAGCAGGACCGGTAGTACTAGTACTAGTGGTAGTGGGGCAGAGTAGACATAGCAGCAGCAGCTAGCAGTATGTAGTTCGTGTGGCTACAAATAAAGTTTCGGTTTGCAAACAATGGAGTTGTATAGTGCATATATATATATATATATATTTTTTTAAGGGCTTAGAAGGTGTGTGTATATATATATATATATATATATATATAATGTAGCTGCTAAAATGTCAGCACTGGTCGGTGAGAATGTATACATGTATAACTTGTATGTGTGTATATATATACACATATTTATACCCTGTATATAGTAAAGATGAAGTGGCTAAATGTTCGCAGTAAATAAGTGAGGTGCTGAGTTGTGTTAAAAGGTGGTGGGGCGATGACAACAATCAGGAAAAGAATGTGACGACTACAACCACTCCTAGTGCCATCTACAATTGCCTACGGTCTGTTTATGTCCGAAAATCAACTATATAAAAACATACCACCGAGTACACCTGCTCCCTCTTATCTATATATATATATATATATACTACCTACCCTTATCTTACTGCCTGCACTGCTGCTCTGCATACTGCATCCTGATTGTTTGCCTTCTACATGATCTCGAAAAGCAGCACTCTTGTTCAACTTGTCACTACTGTTAATATGACTCTCTCTCTCTATATATATATGGCCTCAATTAAATCTGCAGACTCAATCAAACCGAAGCAACAAGAAAAACCTCTGATCGAATCATCACACTTTCTGAAAGCCTGCATGTGCCCTGAAATTGAACAGCCAAGACTCCTCGATGCGAGTTTGTTTCCATTTCTCACACACTCGTATTGTACATTTCCCAGTGGTAGGAATGGTGCCCGGCCATGAGTGCCACTGCTTACAATAACGAAACTGGAGCATACCACTGCAAACACAGCCAAGCACTTGTCTTCCACGGCACCCAATACCGATGTCAAAGCAAGCCTGGGCACAGATGGGCGAGGGGATTGAAAGCTAATTACAGCACATTGCTAGCCCTTTCCAGTACACTACATGCTTCGGTACACAGACATGCATCACCAGTGTCGTTCTAGCCAAAGCACGCCATCCCGGCATCACTCAAAAGGTCCATAGCGTTCTGCTTTCCAGGGGGCGGATTTCCAAGTTTAATGTCAAAGCTTCCCACAGCATGGCCAGCGAACCGGAGCATCCGAGACACATTGCCGGCTCCACAAAAGAATTCCAGGGCATCGAAAGCCTCAACTACAACACCCGAACCTAACCCGGTGCACACACACACACTCCATCAGACCAGGGACCTGCCTGGAGAAACTTCACATTCACGTTGTTGGCATAGTATATCAGGATGATGCAGGCCAGCAGGATCTGCAGCACAGGACACTTACGAAACAATCCTGGGACTCGTGGGCGGGCGGAATTTCTCAGGCATGCATTGATGTAGCCTAAGCTTGGCTGGGTGAGTGAGCAAATCAATCCTATTCATGCCAGTCCACCTTCGGGGCATCCAGTCGTGCCAGACGCTTCAGCAAAGCATCCAGCCGCGCATCAGAGGTGGGCTCTTTGCACATATGCATTTCTGCGAGGGGCAACAGAACCACAATAAAGCAATGAACACACCAGACACCAAATGCCAAACTTTCTAAGGATCTAGCTGCTACCTGTCGATCTCCATTCTCTACACACATCGATCTACCTTGTCCGTTTGGGCAGTCAGCACTGTTTGCGGAAGGTTTGGGCAAAAGACTTGAAGCAGCAACAGGGCACAAGTTTGATACACCAACCAAGAAGTGCCACTTGGCACCCAGAGCACCCAGCATTCAGTCCCACTAATCAGCACACTCAAACACGGAAGGTGTGGCCATTCTCAGCGGCCGGCAACAGCCGTTGTCGCCAAGCATCGCCCCGCACCATGAACCACCTGGGCACACAAAACTCATCTCACTCTGATTGAATGAGCATATAGAACTTATTCAGACCGGCCATGCATGGAGCTGCTGTATGCACGCATGTAACTTCCACAGCATTGCCCCGAAGAGCTTTTTTCTCTCGACACGGGTGGCACCCAAAAGTGCTCCACACTAGGATCGACCAAGCCTTAAGCAGCCCATCTAAGCAGGCAGAAGCAGATTTTGCCTACCCATCCAGGACCTGTGTTCCCCAGCCTCAGCCGAACATTGCAAATGGAAACGATTATCATAACTCGATGATGCAGCACACATATCACTACACCTGGTTTTACAAACATCTAAACATATGGCCAGCCCGGCCGGGAACTGCCTGCCCCGCAAAAGCCCCTCTGACACTGCAGCGGACACTCAAACTAGGTCTTTCAGAGAGCAAGCCTGACATCGTCTTTTCGACACTCAGGCCATGGAACTTATAATGGCCAGGCATCCGATTCTCAGCACACATCCTAAAAGCCCTTGCGTGCGGCCACCAAAGCTAAAGCCTCGAAACCCTTGCTTTGAACCCCAAAGAGTCTACCGGGAAGAGGTTTGTGTGGTGAGCAACTAACGAGGTAATTCCCGAAATGTTTGGGCATGTGTGCACATATGTATTGTTGTAAGTATGTATGCATGTGTGTATAGATGTGGGTATGTGCCATTGAATATATAATTTAATGGATGCATGACTACATACAGCAACTGTTCTCAATCGGACATTTGGCTGATGTATGCATGTGTATATATATATATATATATATATATTCATATGTATATATATATATGTGTGCTATATATGTATATGTTTAAAATGAAGATGCCCCTCCAACCCGTGCATAGAAACCTTCGCGTACGGGAATCCATCTGCACTCATGATTATATACATATATATATATATAGACAGAACTAGCTAACGACAGCAACATGCACACGTCTATAGTCAACCAGATCAACCAAAGTGACTCTGTTTGCATGTGTATTATACAGGGTAAGTATGTACTGTCTGCAAAACACTGAAGACTAAGCTAAACTTAGTTTCTTTCACCCCTTGCCTATTTTGTAGATATATGTGTATATATAACTACATATAGATACTTCTTAATCAGCCTATCATAGGCAAGAAGCTAAGCTAACGAAGGCCTGAAACCGCAAAATGAAGCCCGCACCCTGCTTCGCTGAGACTTAAAAATTCAAGCAGGGGGAATACCAAGCTCTTCCTTCAGAAACTTCCTGGCAGCCTTCTTGGCCAGCTTCACGAAATCAGTGTTCTCGTTCTGTTCGACATGGTGCCACTGAGCCATACAGTAGGTCCAGAAGGGATCCTGGGGCAAGGCCCTTATTGGGGTATATCTCAGCTACTTCGAATCTAATTCAGGCTCGAAAACACAAGCCTACATGCAACAGCATACCATTGGAACTGAATGTGTATGACACATGCATGCATGCACTCAGCATATAAGTCCTCGGACTTGGAAGGGAACTCAGGCAATCGGTCTCGAACAATACCATCGAAGGCATCACGAATCGCGATGAAGCGAGCCTTGTTCATGGCCTGCTTTGGCTGTCGCCTCCGAGCAAACGTCTTCGGCACCTCCTCCTCTTCGTTGTCTTCATCATCCTTTGGCGCTCTCATCTGTGGCTTTTGTTTCTTGGATCCGGACTTGACATCCTTCGTTTCATCCACAGCCTCAGCCGGAGCCTTGGCCTGCTTTTGGCTCTTGCCCTTGCCAGAGCTCTTACCACCTCTCCCGGCTTTGCTAGCAACGGGCTCATCACCATCCACAGCACCACCCCGTCCTTGGCGACCCCGTCCTCGGCCACGTCCTCGGCCCCGTCCACGGCCGGGGGCCACATTTGCAGTGGTCTCAGGCTCTACCTCGGGGGATGGTGATGAGGTTGGGCGTGGCACATCCTCAGCCTCAAAATAGACTGTGGCATTGTCAGGCTCCTCATCAGCCGGTGACTTGCGCTTCTTGTTCCCACCGTCGGCGTCCTTCTTAGCCCCGGCTTTAGCCTTGGGCCTGCCCTTGGCCTTCGGCTTCGTGTCGACTGCCCCAACCCCGGCCTCAGAGGCAGATGGCTCCCCAGCATCACCCTCCGGCTCCATCTGTTCTTCCTTCTCATCATGCTTTGCCCTCTTCGGTGAGGCCAGAGAACAAGCAGCCGGACGCTTGAGGATCTTTGGCCCATTCTTCTGCTTCTCCTTCTTGCCACCCTTTTTCCCACTAGCTGCATCCTCACAATCCGCCGCCTCAGCGGCGATGTTCTGCCGAACAGCAAGCTGCCCACGGCGAGAAACCTGATACAACAACACACGAGTTTTGTGTTTTGCATGACGATCTAGACATGTGACACAACTTCAACAGTCACACCCTCATGTCATTTCAGGCAAGGAACAAAGTCTGGTGGATTGAACCCATACTCGTCTGAAAGCTGCTCGGCACTCTTCCAAAGCATGGCAACCCCATCCATGGTCGGTCCATCAACGAGCTGGGTTTCATCATCATCGCGAGCTGCAGCTCGAGGGGTGGGAACTGTTGCAGCACCTTTCTTCAGAGTGCACAACTTACAACTTTAACATATATTACATACAAACCTCAGAATAACTTGTCTTCAACCAACACAGTTACATGATACATATATATATATATAAGTACACTAGCTATCTATCTTTCTATATATAGGTATACATAGATGGATAGGTAGACAGATCCATATATCACACATACAGTAACACGGCTACTCACGACTCTATCTCATTGTACATCAATGTAATATGAGTATCTGAATTACATTGTTTGGCGAAGCCCCACCTGGCTTGTCACATGGGACCACATTGGGCTTGTCACTGGGAGCTGGGACCTCACTGGACTTGTCATCCACATCTTGGACCTCATTGGGCTTGTCACTGGGAGCTGGGACCTCACTGGACTTGTCATACACATCTTGGACCTCATTGGGCTTGTCATTGGGAGCTGGGACCTCACTGGACCTATCATCCACATCTTGGACCTCATCGGGCTTGTCATGGGGAGCTGGGACCTCACCGGGCTTGTCATCGGGAGCTGTGACCTCACTGGGCAGCTTGTCACCAGAAGCCCCACTGGATCGGGAATCCTCAGCAGCCTTCTCTCCGGAGGCCTTGACTCTGGCACCCTTCAGCAAATGGCTCCTGCACACAATCACAACTTGACAGCAGCACTGGGAAACCTAAATCGGAACTGCCATCAGCATATTAAACATGCAAGATTAGAAGCCAATATGAAGTTCAACTCGGGGCCTCTTTCTCGCTGCTTGCACACTCTTCAAGGTAGCGATCGTCTGCTTCAGCTGGCGAAGCCGCATGCAGTGACATTTGGATAACTTTCGATCACACGCATCACATGACAGCTCCTCCATTTCATCCACATCCATGACATCATTGTCGAAATGTTGCTGCTTGCCTTTGCGAAGTGATCGCCCGGAACCCTCCGGAGCCGGTGGTGGCGGATCAGCAACATCTTCGGATGCCACCTCCGCAGGATTGGAAGGCCTTGCGACCTCCTCGGCCTCACCCGTGTTGGCCACATCAAGAATCTCGCAGTCGTCATCCACCTGCGTATCCACCTGTGTCTCAGCGAAGGCACTCTCATCCTTATCAGGATTTTCCTTGTCCTCACCATCGGACAACAGCTCGACATCGCTGTCGTGCACGGATGTTTCATCTTCCGTGGAACCTGGCCATCAGTGATCTACAAGCAGAACACACAGCAATGAATGCATGACAGCACACATCTGATGAGAAGCTGTTTTCAATCATTCCCAGTCATGCCTGCGTCCCCTGCATCAGACTCTCCAGCATCATCATCATCATCTCCATCCTGCGGGCGGGATCCAAGCAACCAAAACAAGCCACCACGCACAAACAAGGAGTCTCTATATACACGTGACAGCAAAAGATCTATCCTGGCCGGGGATGAACTGCAACAGGTACTGGAACGCGTCATTCCGTGGAACTTGGCCACGCTGCCTCTTCCTCTTGAGGAGGACCACAAACTTCTTGCAGAGCCAGGCTTCTGCTTTCACTTGTTTCGGCTCCGTTTGCACTTTGCAAAGCCGGTACAGCTTCGCAAGCCTCGGTTACCATCGAGTTATAAGTATTGTGATATATGCGTGACTTCAGCACCGAACATGCAGTCTGCAATTGATTATACAATCCCAGTCACTCAGCCTCCGTTTGGAAGACAGAGCACACCTGGATCTTGCC